AAAGAGGAAGATTTTACAATGGGTCCGGGTAGGAAAACAACTTACAAGTGTATAAAATAAAGGCACCTTATGGTTAGTTTCCAAAGTCTAGATTTTCCAGAGTCTAAGACCATTCAGTAGAAGACCTACCTACTTATTTTTTAGGATTTAAGTTAAACTACTTAGAGCAGTTGTTTTCCATCTTGGCTACATGTTGGAATTACCTGTGAAGCTCTTAAATAAAACTCATGCCTGGGTCCCTCCTTGAGAAATTCTGAGTTAACTGGTGTGAGGTTGAGTGCAGTATTAGGTAGAGCTCCCAGATGTTAGTGCATAGCCAGAGTGGAGAACCGCTTATAGAAAGAAGTACATCTCCCTTATTCCAAGGGTCTGCCCTAAGCAGGGCCATGCCCTGAATCGGTAAGTCAGTGATATTCAGATCACAGTCCTTCATTGTGAGTTCTAAGGGAATATCCATCCTTTCTTGTCTGGGGTTTTGCTACAATTAAATAGATCTCTGACTGGGTCCTGGAACTATTTTTGTTACATCCTGATTTTCACTTTTGTGGCATCTTATATTATAGTCTACATTCAGTGAACAAAATGACATGTTCATTTCTAAACTGACAATCTCTAAACTATCTATTACTCTGTTGAAGGTCCCGTTTCCAGCAGATAACTGAGTAGTATACTGCTCAAAAGGTTAAGTAGTCTGGGTCAGCAGGTGGGGTGGTAGTTAAGGCACTGGGCACTCCCACATGGCTGACGATGGTTCAAGTTCTGGCCCTAGCAGCTTGCTTTCTCACTTTCCCTCTTTCTCTCTCTCTTTCTCTATCTCTAGTGAATTAAAAAAATTAATAAATAAAATTAAATACGTAATTCCTTAAAAAAGTTAACAGAGTTATTTTACATTTTGGAAAGATTTATAAATATAAAAATTGAAAAGATTTTAAAATATTAAAATTGTCAAGATAGAAATTGAGACACAATTAGTGGAGGAAAACTTACTTTTATGAGGTTTGTCTATCTCTTAAGGAAGCTAAGATTGTATCTTTTAAAACTTTGTCTTTTAAAAATATTATATAAAGTGGAAAATGTTAATATTTTAGAAAGTGTATTAGAAGGAAGGAACCACTACCTAACCTTTGTAGACTGGTGGAGCGCCCTGTGTGAACATAAGCAAAGGACAAAAAACTCAGCACAATTCAGAGGAAAGGACAAAAAAAGAACAGAATGAGTATTTGGGTCAATTGTGATGATCTTATGTTTATAAAAGTAAAGTCAACTTTTTCCTCTAATGGGCAGCGAGAGCCATTTGTCTCTCCAGCTTTTTCTGGCTCCTAAATGGGTAGAAATAATTAAGAATCACTGTCATCTGGTTAAAAATGTTTTTGCCATTTGTAAAGGGCATGTCTTTGTTCTCAGAAGTTTAATTTGAAATGCCAACATATTTATATTTGGGGGGTTAATATTCAAATCAATGAAAGTAAAAGAGTCTACAGGGAAAATTCCACCACAGCCTGGAGGCCTCAACAGTACGTGTCAGTATGTGACCTTTTGGAAGGCCACACGTTTGAAAATTCCAATTTTTCATATGCCATTAGACTTCAGTTAACTTAATGAAGCCATTTTCTTTGATACTTTTCTATCACATGCTTCTCTTTTGGAAGCTTATCAAAGAGATGGAAGAATTAGGCCTGTGATATTTACACTCGTACATTTGGGGAGGGATGAGAGGCACATGGAGGTGGTGGTGCTGGTGGGGAAACAAATAAAATCCTACCCTCATCACTGGACAAGCTGTTCCCACTGCTCTGACCTGTTTTTGATTTCCTGGCAGACCAAATGTCGTCATTAATCCTGGTGTTTCTGGTTTTGATTCGGATGAATTCTTTTTCTGATCTCAGTTCTGGTTTTGCAAATGGGATGCATTTAAATGTTGTGGGCCAGCTAGTAGGATTTCAGGGAATTATAAGCAACTATTGATGGAGTTGAATGGAACCAGGGATCCTATTACAACATTAATGTTGAATTCTGTTGTCTACAAAACTTCCTGTTGCCTATCTTTCACTCAACCCAGTTGCTAATTGTGGCATACAATATCAATGCAGGTGGTTATTATTTTAATTACATTATTGTAATCCTAAAGGGAGCACAGAAAATTTTAAAAAAGTCAATAGCTATAGAAGAGTGTTCTTCTAATCTCTTGGCACAAATGAGCTGCATCAGATGGCTACAGTATGGCACTGGCGATATTCCTGTCACTAATTCCTAACAGAAAAGTAATATCTCTGAGCTATTATTGTTAAATCTACCTTGATTCACTCATGAATACATTGCAAAAGGCTCAGTGAAGGATCAGTGTGGAGAGTTTGGAACCTGGCAGGTAACAGAGCAGGTTTCAGGTACTGAGACTGTTGGCTACCTTTAGCCATCCTGCATAGAAGAAGAATTGCAGGAGAGTAAAAATTGGAATGTACAGATCTAAGTCATGTCCTGCGTAGCCTTTGGTGGGATCCAAAAACTGGCGTCCAATCAGGCATGCAAAGAAGAAGGTGTAGACAGCAAGAGTGACAACCTGGAATAGAGAGAAAAGGGAGTGAGAGGACAGTGTGGGCTGCCCACAGTGAGCTCGAGTGCCAAGGCGGGTCAGTAGAAATAAGAAATCATAGGCAAAGTATTTGGTACCTGAGTATAAACAAGTGGAATCCCAACCCAGTCATAACCAAATAGGAGACTGCACCAAGAGCGGTATCGATTCATTTCCTAGGCCAGAAACAGATAGAACATGATTTACTAAAATGTTGGGTGTAGTAATATTTACTGGTACTCAGACTGTGGGCATATCTTTCATGAATATGTCTATAAAATGATGGGATTGATTTTGTAAAGCTGGGAAATTGGCTCCCAAGGCTACTTCAAAAGGGAAGTTCAAAAAATGACAAACAATGAACATTATTGAACAATATGCACAATGGATATATACATTTAAACATATTCTTTAATATGAAAATAAGTCACAACTTCATAGAAATATTCCCTATTCTATTAAATCCATAATTTTCAACATAAATATTGACCCAAAGTGGGGAAGAGAAGGCAATGCTTAATAGGGTACTGCCAGACCAGCAGATAGTGTAATGATTTTGTCACCGGACTCCCACATGGTTGACTGCAGTTTGAGTCTCGGACCCAGTGGTTTCAAACTCACTCCAGGCACGTGAGCATGCATGCCCAAAATCCCAAGAGGAGAGTGAAGGAGAAGGGATTGTAGCGTGGCCACCGCCACCGGTGATGATTTCTCATTTTCTGTCTCTCTGTCTCTCCAACGAGTGCACGCGCCATATTGCAAAAATCTCTCTTAAAAATTAAAAACATGAGGGGACTGCAAAATGCTCGTGGAAAAAATGGAAAAAGTATGAGTTCATTTGGTGCAAAGATGTTTTTTAAATCTATGTATAGTCTTTTTCCTAATATGTACTTTTATCAACTTTTTGAAGCTCTCTTGTATTTTTAATAAATAATGTCTAGGCATTTTGGTAAATAATGCAAAAAGCAAATAATTTTTCTATTCTCTTTCAAAGACGCAACTTATTATAGATCTTAGAAAAGACACATAAATACATCCTAAACCTTTCCCTCAGCAAATGAGGAATTTAGGATACTCATATTGACAGAGTCTGTGTTTGGAGCAGGAAGGATTGGGATTCATTGATTCTTTTCCTCTTTTTTTCTCTATTGCACATACATTCTTATCTAGAACTGGGAAGATGAATTCACTTTAATTTGGGAGCTATTTAAAAATCATTTTCACTTCTTTTAGCCTAATCCAGCCAAGAGACTCTGCACAAATATATCTCGCCCTTATATAAATTTGTTTTTCAGATAAATTTAGAGATATTTTGTCTAGTGAAAACATTATGTCATTTACTGGTGCATTTGAAAAGCTGGCTTAACATTGGGGTATTCTAATTTCTGGGAAATGGCTAGGGGGCTTATTTCTCCTCCAAATTTTATCCTAGAGCCTTGGAGCCAGGAATGACAAATATGCCATGTGGGCACCATCTTTTCCAGAGCCCTGGGCAACCCTTCATTTCTCAATCAAGGAACACTGTTCTACAGAGCATATTACAAAGCATACTTCTATTTAAAAGAGAGTTTCCAGGACGAGCAGATGGCATAATGGTTATGTCACTGAACTCCCATGTAGTCAACTGTGATTTGAGTTCTGGACCCAGTGGCTTAAAATTCATGGAGGAGACTGAAGGAGAAGGGATTGTGTCATGGCCATCCCCCTGGGGAGTGATTTCTTGCTTTCTGTGTCTGTCTCTCTGGCGAGTGCTCATGCCCTACAGTAAAAATCTCTCTAAAAAAACAAAAACACAGAGCTCTCAAGCAGTCTCTACCAATCACTCTGAGTTCAACCTGTGTACTTTCTCTGTCCTGAGAGTTAAGGATTTTGATACTAGCCCAATCTTTTTGGCTTATTTGGAGCTAGGACTGAAAAAAGTCAGGCCTTTCCTGGTCTGCCCATTAGATCAAGTCTCTCTTGGTTTCTAGTTGGCATCTTTTTTTTATTTTGGAGAGGTTTTTGCTATAGGGCGCGTGCGCTCACCAGAAAGACAGAGAGAGACAGACAGAAAGCGAGAAATCACCCCCCAGGGGAATGGCCACGCCGCAATCCCTTCTCCTCCATTCTCCTCTCGGGATCTTGGGTACTCACGCACACGTGCCCTGCGTGAGTTTAAGCCACCGGGTAAGGGACCCGAACCGCAGTTGACTACATGGGAGTCCAGCGACACAGCCATTACACTAACTACTGGTCTTATCTACTTGGCATCCTTTAACTGATGGTTCACGGTGTACTTACAGTCATCAGTGATTGCAGATCAACACTGTCTCTGATTCTTCCTTCATTTCGGGCTTTCGTTGCAAGATTTCCAAACCAGATGAATGGAACCCAGTATTTCAGATGAGGAGATTTGAGATGGTCAAATAATTTCCTTTCATCTGCTGTCATAAAACCTTTACACAAGATAAAAATAGCTGTAGTAAATGGGCTTAGTTTAGCACTAATATTACCACAACCTCAGTGTATGTTATGTAAATGTATAATGAGCCGAGCGTATCAAGGAAATGTAAAATAAAGGTTTCTCTCTCAAGTAGTTTACACTTGGATTAGAGATAAGGAATGTGTGTGTGTGTGTGAGCATGTGCAAGTATACACAGACGCACATGTTCACACACACAAATCATGTATCAATTTATGAGGCAATGCATAGTTTTGTGCCCGAATACACGTTAGCAATCTCTGCGTGAGAACGCCAGCAAGAAGTAAGGAGACATTGGATGTAAACTAGAGCATTTGGGAAGTTTATTCTTTAAGTTTTGGCTTTATTCGCCTAAAATTGGTAACCGTAATACTTAGAACTATTAGAATGAAAACAATAAAATATGATAATATATACAAAACACTTAGTGTAATAATTCACATTACTTTTCCTCCTGACCTCTCCTTTCAAAGACCTACTCAGTCATGTCCTCTTCTGTGACACCTTCCTTGGTTCCTTCTTTCTCTTTCTCTTGCCCCTGAAATCTCTACCTTTTCAAACTCCCACTAGGTATTCTTTATTATCTTGTATTATAATAATATTACTTATAAATGTTTTCCCTGCTAAAACTCTCTCTCTTTTTTTTTTTTTTTTTTCTGGAGAGGTTTTCACTATAGGGCGCGTGTGCTTGCCAGAGACAGAAAGCGAGAAATCACCCTTCAGGGGGAATGGTCACGCCGCAATCCCTTCTCCTCCATTCTCCTCTCGGGATCTTGGGCACACACACACACACACACACACACACACACGCACACGCCCGGCGTGAGTTTAAGCTGCTGGGTCCAGGACTTGAACCACAGTTGACTACATGGGAGTCCAGTGACATAGCCATTATGCTAACTGCTGGTCTCTCCAGGCCTATTTTTAAAAAACACATGACATGTCTGCCATTTACTTCTATGTTTCAGTTATATCTTGGAGACTTAAAAATTAATATATAGAAAGTAGTAGCATTTTTTCAATGACTGCTTGCTCTATAATTAATCATTAATTATATACAATATTTTACTCAACTAAATCTCCTTTTATTAATTGCTAGAGGACACATGTGCTCTCCTGAAAGAGAGAGAGTCAGAAAGAGGAGTGAAAGAGAACACCCTGGTGGGGTGTGGTCATGCTGCCACCTTTTCCTTCATGTCTCTTTCCCATCAGGATTTTGAGCATTCATGCACACATGCCCGGCCTGCTTTTCAAGCTTCCAGGCCTGGGATGCAAGCCGCAGTTTGGCCATGTGGAATCCAGCTCCCAATGCACAACACTTAACCTCTGTGCTCTGGGGTCGGCCCCTAGAATCTTTTTGAGTAGGTATTTAAGTTTTAAAATTTTTTTTACTGTTAAAAATAATGCAGCAATAACTTCTTGTACCTACTTCCCTTGACTTTTTTTTTTATATAAGAATTACTTTATTTTATTTATTCATTCATTTATTTTAATTCGACCAGAGAGAGACACGGGGTGGGGGGTGGGGGGCAGGTGGCAGGAAAGCAAGAAAGCAAGCCACTAGGTCTAGGTCTTGAACCATAGTCAGCCATGTGGAAGTGCCCAGTGCCTTAACCACCATGCTACCTGCTGGTCCCCCTTTGACTCTCTAAGTGGCTTTTAAATGCTAATTATGACTAAATTTAAATTGTGCTTTCTGAATTAAAGCTTAAAACTGATTTTTTAAACTGATTTTTATTAGATATTAATTTCAGTTCTTTTTGTCTCAGAAATGTAATCTTTTTTTTTTTTTCTTTTTTTGGGGGAGAGGTTTTTGCTGTAGGAGGTGTGCGCTCATCAGACAGCCAGAGAGATACAGAGAGACAGAAAGCAAGAAATCACCTCCCGGGGGGATGGCCATGCCACAATCCCTTCTCCGCCATTCTCCTCTCGGGACCTTGGGCACACACGCACACGTGCCCGGCATGAGTTTTAAGCCACTGGGTCTGGGATGCGACTACATGGGAGTCCAGTGACATAGCCATTACGCTAACTTCTGGTCCCCTTTTTTTTGTTGTTTTTTAAGAGACATTTTTGTTACAGGGCATGTGTGCTCACCAGAGAGACAGAAAGTGAGAAATCATGCCCAGGGAGATGGCTACATCACACTCCCTTCTCCTCTTGGGAATCTGGGCACGCACGTGCACATGTTGGATATGAGTTGTAAGCTGTCGAGTCCAGGACTCAGATCGCAGCCGACTATGCAGGAGTCCAGTGACATAACCATTACACCATCTGGTCCCAGAAATGCAATAATTTGCTTATGAAATCCTGGTTATACAGAGAGATAAAAATTAACTTCCGTTTTAATGTTACATGTTTTCCATCTTTTAAACACTTGTAATCAGTTTACAAATGTGCTTATCCTATTTAAGGTCATTTTCTTTCCTTATCATGTAGACCAACTTTTATTTAAAAGGTGTTATTATACTAGAAAAGATGTAGCCCAGTTGTGGTAGGACACATTGGTCGACCTTACCGTTGGGCAAGCTGAGGCCACATAGGAAGCCCAGCCCACACTGAAAGCGGGGTGCGGTGGTATGCACCTGCTGCCCCAGCCACTCCAGATGATGAGGCAGAAGGAGCTCAAGATAATGAGACCCTATCTAAAAACAAAAGGTACCCAAGGAGAAGTGCAAAGTGCCACTTTGACAGATTCACAGATTTGGACCAAGCTCTTTGACTTGACATAGGCCAGTGTTTTTAAGAATAATGCCTACAGATCATGGGTCTCTAAGTCACTTATGACACCTATTAAACATAGAGAGTGGGGACTAGCAGATGGCATAATGGTTATGTCGCTGGACTCCCACATAGTCAACTGCGGTTCAAGTCCCGCCTGGTGGATTGAATCTTAGGCCAGGCATGTGTGCGTGTGTGCCTAAAATCCCAAGAGGAGAATGGAGGAAAAGGGGTTGTAGCATGGCCACAAGGAAGATGATTTCTCACTTTCTGTCTCTGTCTCTCTCTGCTCTCCGGCAAGCGCATGTGCCCTATAGCAAAAATCTCTCTTAAAAAAAAAAAAAAGGCAACTGCTAGGCCCCACTCTGACCCTCTAAACAGACTGAATAGGGCAAGAGTTCTCATCCCAAGTCTGCACTGTAGACTCTCATGTGGGTTCTTTTAGAAAATACCAGTGATTAGGCCTTATTTTCAGAGATTCTGATTCAGTTGGTCTAGGGTGAGGTCAGACATCAGCATTTAAAAATCCTCCCTGGACAATGTAACAGAATTATATTCAGGCAGTTGCACATTACCAAGCTCTGCAGAAAATACTGACATACTTGGACATCAATGTTTGAAAATCACTGTCACACTGAATGAAGGTTCTGTTTATCGGTTTTTGGAATATACAGAATACCAACTACAATCAATATTTAGCATCAGAAGACTAGTTTTAGATAATACTCTGGTTATTTATACTAGCTTAGAAAGTTTCTGGGTATGCCTAAAGAATGGTACTCTTTTTGGAGGTAAAAATGAGCCTGGAAATTCTCTTATTTCTCAGTGTATCTCAAAGTTGTTATATGATTCAGGCAATCTGCTTTTTTTGTTAAAAAACACTTGCAGAGCATAAGTCAATCTTTTTAAAAAATAATTATTTTATTTAGTTTCAGTTATTATTATTATTTAATTTGATCAGAGAAATAGAGAGAAAGTGAGAAAGCAAGCCATCAGATCTGAGACTCGAACCATGGTTGGTCATGCGAGAGTCCAGTGCCTTTACCACCACACCATCTGGTAGCCCTGCATAATTCAATCTTATTTTAAGACGTTAATAAACTTGACCTGTCTTGGCTTTATGCTTAAAGACTTGTCGCAGTTGTTCTTCCCTTTAACTAGAAGCCTATTCTCAGATATTCCCTATTGATTGTCTAACAGTTATATTCTTGGGATTTATAGTGTAATTTAAAAAAAAGACACCATTTATATACTGGCTGTAATCTCTGTCATTTGGCCAAAGAATAATATTGTCTCTGGTTATTTTTTATTCAGGAGTATGGATCAAATTGTGCTAGCAAGTCCTTCCTTGGCTTCTAAGCAGAAAGCAAATACGCAGAGTGAAGGTTGATCTAGTGCAAACACTAACGTGAGAATTAGGCCCTTCCCTCCATGTAGGACGTCTGAGTGGAAGGGGGCACGTAGAGTGAGGAAAGCTAGTGATGTAAAACTTTCAGCTTCAATTTATTGAGTACTTTATCAGGTTCTGTGAAAGGTGAATCATGAACCAGGCATTAATATAGCCTCCAAAAGTGTACTGGCAGAGCAATTTTTGTTAGTCTCTGCAGGAAGATACATCTTATCCAAAGATACCTCATCTTTGGAAATCAAGTTACTGGTTGATAGAAAGAAAACCTGAAGATTGTGAGTCAAATCTATTCAAAAGGCATCAAATGCGCTATCCCATCGACATTTTTTCAAACTATGGTTATTACTGGGCCAGCAGGTGGCGTGATGGTTAAAGGCACTGGACTTCCACATGGCCAACTGTGGTTTGAGTCCTGGACTTGGCAGCTTGCTTTCTCATTCTCTCTCTCTGGTCAAGTTGAAAAATAATAATAATAAATAAATAAATGATTCTTAAAAAAATCAGGTAAGTTTTTTTTTTTTTTTTTTTAAAGAATGTGTTTATTATTCTCATCTGTAAGGCTATTTAATTACAGTTTCTGATTTGCTAGTTTGGGAGCACTATCAGTCAGAGCCAGGCCTCCCACTGCCCTGAGCCCTTCAATGTCTGTCTCCCTGCCATACTCCCCCAGGCCCTATCTAAACCCTGGCAGGCAAGACTATTTAATTCTGCCATTGCTTCTACCTAGAATATCACCTGCTTTTTCTTTTCCTTATGGCTGGTTCAGCTCTGATCAGCAACTTTCATATTGTTTATTACAAAGAATGTTCCTTTATATTTCTTTTTTAAAAATTTAACTTTATTTATTTATTCATTTATTTATTTTAATCTTACCAGACAGGGACAGAGTGAGAGAGAGGTGGATGGAGAGTGAGAAAGCAAGCCACCAGGTCCAGGACTCCAACCGCGGTCGGCCATGTGGGAGTCCAGTGCCCTTAACCACTGTGCCACCTGCCGGCCCCGCTCCTTTATATTTCTAACCAGAATAAGATATCTATACTGAGTGATACAAAGATATATTTACATTTACTTGAAACTTGAAATGTGTCTTGGAGTAGGATCTGCTACGTTAGAACAAAATTTCATTGCCCTCAAGTCAAAGGACTGATTAAATCCATTGATAAATAATATTTTGGTCATCATAAATTTTGTCTGCTCTATGGTTGGCCTGCTTTTCCTTGGTCGAAGACAAGGCAGATATCTTTTGCCTTTAGAGCAGAGTAGTCAAGTGAGGCTCTGTTAGCAAAACTAAAAGCTCTGCATCTCAGAACTGGAAGGCAGAATGTGTTTGATGCCAGTTCTTTCAGAAAGAGAAACTGTGCATTCAGCATTTGAGCCTTTCTTAGAGGATGACTTTTCCAGGAAGATTGCAACGTGCCTGGCTTATTTTCATCTTCAAATTTTCTAAATGAGTGGGAAAAAGCCACCAGCTTCAACTGCAGCTGTCCTTTAAATTTATTGGGAAAAGTTTAGAAATCACTGTAACCAGGAAAATCAAGGAGAGGCAAGAGGAGATTGAGAAGATAAAATCGCACCGAGACAGTACTGTGTTGGGCAGTCTTCAGACATCTTTACTGTGATCTCCAGTAAGGAAGTTCTTCACAAAACAATTATTGGCCCTTCTGCATGATGTGCTCTCTCATATTTTCAACTCTGTTCTACTCTATTCTCTAGCCTATTGCGTTCTCCAATCCATTTGATTAAAAATGGTGGTTACAGGGCTAGTGGATGGTATAGTGGTTGGGGCGCTGGACTCCCACATGGCTGACCATGGTTCAAATCCTGGACCCAGAGGCTTGAAACACACTGGGCACGTGTGTGTGCATGCCTAAAATCCCGAGAGGAGAATGGAGGAGAGGGGATTGCGGCATGGCCTTCCCCCCGGCCCCAGGGGTGGGGTGGTGATTTCTCATTTTCTATTTCTCTGTCTTTCTGCAGAGAGCATGCACCCTATAGCAAGAATCTCTCTTTCTAAAAAATAACAGTGGTTACAAGCCGCTAAAATGATTTAAAAACCCAAGAATGAGTTACAACCCACAGTTTGAAAAGCCTAAGATAAGATACGGTGGGGTAAAATCACTTTCATTTTTCTAGTGTAGCAATGCTGCATGGAGACAGAAATGCCTGTATTTTCCTGATATGAGCAAAGCATGTCTATTCAGCCACATCCCTGCCCTCAATTAGTTCTGTTCAGTAATTCACTTCTTACTACACAGTAACATGTAACAAAATGACATGCAAAATCAGTGTTCTTAACTCCTCACCTGCACAGGTGACCCAGATTTTATTTGCACTGGGCAAGTGTGTGAGGCAATTTGCAGATAAAATTGGAGGAATCAAGTGATGTGCTCTAGTGCCATGGTGCCTGAACTGCGCACGTTAGCATCATCTGGGGAGCTTTGAAAACTCCCAGTGCCCAGGTTGGGCCACGTTGATAATGAATTGTACTGTCTGAGGGTGGGAGCCAAATGTCAGTATTTTTAGGAGGTCCCCAGTGATTCCAGCTGCAGCAAACTGTGGGAAAACTAACCCTAGAACTGGTTATTACAGCATTCTTACTCTGGGTCATACAGCTGTAGATGTTTAAAGAGCCCGTTTAAAAAATGGATTCCTGGGGCCAGCAGATTGCATAGTGGTTATGTCGCTGAACTCCCAAATGGCCAACTGTGGTTCAAGTCCTAGACCAGTGGCTTGAAAATTGGTGTATGTGCATGTGTGCCCAAGATCCCGGGAAGAGAATGGAGAAGGGATTGTAGCATGGCCGTTCCACTTAAGGGGTGATTTCTCGCTTTCCTTTTCACTGTCTCTATCTGCGTCTCTTTCCAATCCTAAATTAAAAATCTTAAAAAAAAAAGAAGTGGATTCCTAGGTCCTAGACGTAGAGATTCAGATTCCCTAGCTGCTTGGGAACCTGCAACTTGAAGAGATAATTCAGTGAAGGTGGTCTTGGATCATACTCTGAGAAGCGTTGAATGCATGGCCTTTATTTAACTGCTAAAACAGAACTGTGGGGGAACTTTCAAACACTGATCGACTGAGACGGTCCATTTGTAGCATTTGTTTAAGGAGGGAGAGTTCTGCCACGTGCTTTCTCTCCTGTGTACAGCAAGTGTGCATAGGGGAGTCAAGTTTCACTCTCGGGATGACATTCTGTCTGTTCCAGGCTCATCATGTGAGAGTATAGGGGTGACTGACTCAGCCTCTAAAGGTTCCGCCGGCAGAGAAAAAACCTGGCACAGCCATGAATGCCACTGTCCCCTTGATCATCCCTCCTATACCAGAGCAGTTGGAGATCAAAGTGATCAAGGAGCCCAGAGCCTCAGAATACGTCAAGAAAAACCAAAAGCAGACTATAGGGCAGAAATGTTACCCAGAATTCAATCGGTTTTACTTAGTGAGAGAAGGAGAAAAATCACAGATTAAATGATAACTCTAGGCCAGAAACAGAAATGAAGCTAGTATTCCAGGCAGTATACTAAAGCCAGAAATTTTATTTCAGCAAGTACTTGACAACTGGGGGGCTTTAAGTGTGACCAAAAATGCCAGTGGGGTCTCCTCAGGCTTCTTGTAGTCATAAAAGAAATGTAAGAAACTTTATTTAAGACCCCAGAGTATTAAGAAAAGTAAAAGACACCTTTTCCTTAACATTTGCTATCTTCTGGCCACTCTCGTGAGCCACCAAGCATAGGAGGAAACTATTGCATCGCTGGGAAAGTCGTGATGCACTTGGCATAGAAAAACAGAAAAATACATCACGACTTTCTTGATGACCTAGCGTGCTAGCGAGAAAGGAAACAGTGAGATGTGAAGGTTAGTTATAAATATATTTGTGCTCATCTCTGAGAGTAGTTAATAGAAGAAAAGCCTCGTAGTCATTTTTACTGCCTCTGAGGACAAGGACCGTATCCGTCTTACAGCCGTGTTCCCAGTGCCCGGCACAGAGCCTGGCAGATAACGCACACTCATTAAATCCTTGTTGAATGAGCAAATGTGTGACAGAGAAGCATCAGCATAAGTACTTTTTTTTGAGAAATGTCAGCATGGGTACTATTTTTTTTTTTTTTTTTTTTTTTTAGAGAAGCGTATACAATTTCCTATTACTGAACTTGTGCTTCCAGTGAGGAACTTTTTTTTTTTTGAGAGATTGTTCGCTATAGGGCACGTGTGCTCGCCAGACAGACAGAGACATAGAGACAGAAAACAAGAAATCACCCCCTGGGGAGGATGGTCACGCCGCAATCCCTTCTCCTCCATTCTCCTCTTGGGATCCTGGGCACACACGCACGCGCACACGCACACGCACCCGGCGTGAGTTTTAAGCCACCGGGTCCAGGACACAAACAGCGGTCGACTACATGGGAGTCCAGTGACATAGCCGTTACGCCAACTGCTGGTTCCCCAGTGAGGAACTTTTGAAGAGAGCTATTTTCTCCCGATGCATATGAAACACTAGATGAAACGTTTTGATTCTCTGCCACCATATTGTAAGCCCTCAACTAAGGTCAGCACTTAGATTCCTGGAATCAGCAAAGATCTGGAACTGGGCACCTGACTTGGAATGAACATCTTCCAGGGCAGGTTATTGGAATGACTGGAATTTTCCAGGGCAGGTTTGTAGCCAACAGTAAGAGAGTCTACATTACAATCCTTCTGGTAAATAACTGATGACATACCAATTTAGAGACTTTTCACCATCATAGACATTACTTTTCATTCGATTGTTGTGTTCCTATTTTCATATGAGCAGAAATAAAAACATTTCATTTTTAATCTGAGAAATTTAACCTGTAACATTTGATCATCTGTGTTTCCCTAGGCAGCATACGCTTTGGTCTTTTTATTTCCCAGGATAATGTAACTTGATTGTCCAATTTAAAAGCAAGGAACGTTCTGGGCCTCGTTCATCCAGCTCTAGTATGAGAACTGCCAGGTGCTTTGGAAGGAGGTGCTAGTTTTCATTTTTTGGCCCTCTCACTTTTTCCTTCCTGGCCAGCACTGAATCTACATAGGCAAGAACCCTCCCTGAAGTGAGTGGGAGACAAAGTTGAGGGGAAATTCCCATTGCCTTAGAGCTCAGTTTCTCAGGGTGTGACCCAGAGACTACCTGCCTTCAGCCTCCGGGAGCTTATTAAGGATACTATCCTGGATCCAGTCCAGACCTACTGGGTCAGAATTTCGGGAGGCAGGGGCCACGTAGTGGTGCTGTTGTAAGATGCAAAGCTCTATGAATGAGGCGGACACCTCACAGGAAGGTTCTGGGTTCACATCCTGAGACCTTCCTGAGTGTGCTGGGCATGTGAGCATGCATGACCCAAGCTGGGTCACCGTGACAAGATCTTAGCAAGGATGCACACACTCTCTTTCTGAAGAAAAAAAATTAAATTTCAACATATAGGAAAATAATTTCTGGGAGCGTCATCTTGGGCCTTGCATTTTTAGCAGGATTGATTTGAACAATACCTAATATGCACTGAAGTGTCCCTTTCCTTACTGGTGATCTTAGGAATGGGAGTCAACTGACAGGCCGTGTTTTGTGCCCTCAGCATTGTCCCCTTCCCCTGGGTCCTCCTCCTGGCTTGGGGCTCCCTTACTTACTTACTAGTCCTCTCTACCGTAGGCAGGAGCAGCTGCCCTGGCTCTGGACTCAGAGCATCTGCCAAACATTTTCTGCCATCCCTGAACTTCCTGTTCTTCCCAGAAACTTTGGCACCGACGAAGGACAGTCAGAGAGTGGTAGAGGCATGTGCCCAGTTGGGAGGGCTTGGAAGGGGACCCTGCGTGCAGACACTGAGTCAGCCCTCTCTGCTGGGGAAAGGGGCAGGAAGTTCGGTGAGTCAGCGCTGCTGTCAACACAGGCTGCTGGCTGTGGAGCCCAGGAAGGACGGACCTCAGCAGCGTCTCTCGTCTCTCCGGGATTACAGGAGAGTGGTTCAGGACCTCTGCCCTGCCACTTAGCATACAAACCTTGGATTCCTGTGGGCACAAGCTGTGGCCACTATCTTTTTTTCTGCTTTTTGAAAAAAACCCTTAAGAATGAAAGAGATCAGCAGGGGCCTTTTTACTCAGAGGAGCATGGATCGTTTCTTAGGATGCTTGGCAAGTTTTTAGCCCCTCTCTTAGTTCTCTTCCACCTTCAGCCACGACTCACCAACCACCAAAACATTTAATTCAGGTCAGTGCTTGTTACATCAAGAAGGTCTAACTCAAAGCCCCTAGACAGCCCCCTCTGACAGATGTGGCCCACTTTACAAATCTTGGGCCTTTACCATGTCTGAAACCTTGAAACTACTTTTTCTTCAGAACCTCTTGCCCAGGGTTGAGAAAAAGGGTTTTAAAAATATAACAGGCCACCAAAACAAAACAAAACAAAACAAAACAAAACCAAAAACAGGCCAGGGCTGGCAATGTTGTGCAGTAGTTAAGTGCTTTGCATTGGGAACTGGATCCTGGATGCACCATGGTGGTGCACCATGGTTCGAATCCCAGCCCCAGAGGCCTGAAGGATGCTGCAAGAATGTGTGAGCATGCCCTAGATCCTGATGGGGTGGAGAAATGAGGGAAACGGGTTGCAGTGTGGTCACACTCCATTGGGGCACAATCTCTCTCTTTCTCTAGTGAGCACATGTATCTTGTGGTAATGAAAAATAAATTAAACATAAAAATGACAGGCCATTCCCTCACCTATTCCCCCACCCCCCAGATAACAGGCTAAGTGGTGGCACAGTGCTAAAGCAATTAGACCCATATAGGAAAGTTCCAGAGTTTATGTCTTGTGACCCTATCCCACGCTGAGCACTCTGGGCATGTGTGTGAGTGGGCATGTGAGCATGTGTGTGCTTTTCTTCAGGGCTGGTAATTCTTAATTTCTTGGATTCTTTAGACATGAGGATAAGAGAACATTAAATTGTCTAGTGTTTCCCCCAGGTCATTCTGAAGTAGTATGCTACTTTTACACTTGGAGGAGGGGTGACAACTAATTGCTTTTCAAGTTCCTACTGGTTTTATATCATAATGTACTTGTGTAACCAATCTGTAACCAACTCCTTGTAACCCATTATTTTCTCACATTTCACTCTGTATCCCTGACGACATCACCTATACCCATCTGTCCTAGTCCTACCTTGACTTTCACAAACTCCTATCAAAGTAGATCAGGAAGGCCTGGGTTAGCATAACCATGAGTCTTTAAAGTGACTAAAAGGCTACATTATTGCTGTTGTTCTATTCATTGATGATTTCATTATAATAGTAAAAAAAATCACATGGCACTTTATTTTGTGCCAGGCCCTGCTTTCAAAACTTTACAAGTGTTCACTAATTCAGTTCTCATGAGCCTATGATGCATACAAAGTAGATGCTATTATGAAGGCACTGTAAGCCCACTTTATGGATGAGGAAATTGAGGCACAGAAGGGTTAGGTTCATAAAAGATGGTGTAGTTAGTAAGTGGTGGAGTAAGGATTCAAACCCTCACTCTGTGCTGCGTGTCACTGTCTGTATTGCCTTTCTAAGAAGGCAGAACAAAACAAAAAAGAGCCCACAAAAAAAACTGAAAAAGAAACAAAAAACATTATTCTTAAAAAAAAAAAATCTGTTTTAAAGGACATATCAGAAAAGGATACTGTGACCTAATTTAAGACTGCACTCAATTTGAAGACAGAATTATGTCATGATTCTTACATTGTCTACATGTGCTAAGAACGGTTTCATTTCGTTCTCACCCTTTCGAAGGCTGGTTTAATGACTTCTTTGCTAAGTATTTGCACACCAAAGGAACCATCCTTCAAACATGATTTGTTCTCAGCATTCTACGCCTAGGAGCCCAGATAGAACACCTCAGTCTATGCTGAGGTATAGCAGAGATCACAGATCCATACTAAAATGGCCTTTTATGGCCACCCTTAGCATCTACCTAGATGAGAGTCAACATCACATATGCTTTGGAAAAAGTATTAAGTTAGGAGCTCTGAGTCTGAATTTCAATTCTGGCTTTTCCACCGGTCAGCTGTGTGATTTAGTGCGGGTCATTACCTCTCTGAATCTGCTTTCTGCCGAGTACGATAGCCACAAAAGGAGATAAACTATAAAATGCTGGAAAGCTGTAAGGTAGTATTACAGGCTGTTTTAATGAACGCGATAATTCTATCTAACAGAAGGCAGTGTGACCCTCTGCTGTTTCCCTTCCCCACCTCCCTACCAAACATGAGCTATTCACCTTTGCCTCTTAAGACTATTTCTGGCACACAGTAGGTAATCAATAAATGCTTCCTGAACGCATCAATAGCTATGAGGACTCTTCTAAGGAACTTTAGAGGAAGTCTCATCTTAGCTGAGAAGAGCCGCTGGAAAGAAAGGTCGCTCACAGTACCTGCTTCGACCACGTGGTCCATGGTGGGGAACCGTTTGTACACAGCTGTGCTCACGGAGCGAAAGATGAGCAGGGATGTGAGGTTGACATAGCGCATCAGCGTCCTTCTGAGCAGGCGCCCGTGCTCGTCGCTGCCATGGACACTGCTGGAGATGAGGAACATCAGCCGGTCTGGCCAGGGCAGGTTCACAAACTGGTTCCACCATCGGTTCACTACCAGCGTAACATAAAACCCTGTAGAATAACAGGGCGATTATAAAGCAATTTTTTACAGAAGACGTATCAGTGACACGGATGCTTTTAGCAGAATTTCAGCCTTTTTGGGGGGATAGGGTATAAAAATACGTTGTTATCCATACCTTACTATTTTGCCCTCCAGAAAAAAATGTCATTTGTGCCTGGCAATGCCGGGACACCCAGTAAGTGGGGTATTAGAACTCAAATACTGACTGCAAAAGTGGAAAGTTAGTGAAGAGAAAGCTTCATTGTCCAATAGCAGATTATTACCTCAAACTCGTTTGGTGTTAATTTAGCGAAAGCAGCCCTGAAGGCAAACTTATGGATGATTCTGGTTCAGTTGCAAGCAGTGGCTTTTCAGGCATGCCTCTCAGCTTGGAAACACTCCCATGCAGAGTCATCGGTGTCAGCCTAACGGAGACAGCTGTGTGGCTGCATTCTGCGTGTGACCTATACTTACCAAGCACAAAGGTTACTGGAATTTGTTCAGCATATCTGTCACAGTAAATTGATAATTTTTCAAAGTAACGTTTTTGGGCTCCTGTAAGTAACAATCTGGAGCAAAAATAAAATGCACAGCCCTTTATGATATTATACTTCTGCACCTGCGCTGCAAGTGACATTACGTGCAAACAGTTAAGCAAAAATCATCTGCTTTTGTTCTTTTTAAAGGAGCAATAACGTTTTCCTTTTTACCTACACAGCTGTGTTCCAAAAGCTTTTTTAACTGCTTAATGTTTAAAGTACTAAAGTTTCTAATCTTTAAATGTTGTTGACCGTTAGAGAGTGGACTTCTAAAATCCATTTTAATTTTTAACTTTATATTTTTAACCTTTTATATGATTGATTCATTAGATTGCAGCAGGATATGTCATAAAATAGTCTGTTTCAATTACTCATCGAGAATACTTAAAAGAGAGTGTGAAGTGGATTAAAATGATTAAGTAACTGAATGATAACCATGAATTTGATATGTTGATCTTATTTTCCTGAATATGCTACTTAGCATATTTTGTAATTTATCAGCTTATTGGAAAAGTCATGATGCATTTTTGCATAGAAAAACATAGAAAACCTAATAATGTTGTACTTCAAGGACTAAACTTTTTATTTTGAAGGCCACAATTATTTTAAATACAAAATAAAGCAGATTTAACAATAAGAGGTAAAAGCCTTTATTATTAAATTTAGTCACTGTCTCAATATTTATATTATAGATCTGACCCAATCTACCAAACCTGTTTTCTGGTGTTGGAAACATAAATGTATTTAATAAAGTCACTATTGATATTTACACTGTAGGAAGAGATTCAGAATCAGAACAGATCTATCAAGGTTATAATAGTGATGATCAAAATATGGAAAGAAAAGTTATATAGATACATTTTCGTAAGCCAGTGAGTGCAGCTATTCCAGAGGAGGTAGGAACCTCAGGAAAGATTCATTACAACAAGTGGCAATGGCCGACTTGGACCAGTAGAACTGGGATCAAAGAAGCAGAGGGTTAGTGACGTAAGGGTGAGCAGTCAGACTGTTGGTAAAGAACTATTGGGAGCTGGTGCTGACAAAGAAGGTGTCTGGGGTACATGGTGGGCGTGGCATGGCTGCCCTAGCTTTGGAGGAGGTGTCAGTGGTATGAAGTCAGGAAAACTGACAAGAGAGGCAGAGACTGGTTGCACCGGTCTCCCAGGGTCATGGTGGTGACATGACAGCCAGAATCATTTCTAATGTGCAAACAGCATTGGTCAAAGAAGATTTAAATGTAGCTAGTGTGGACCATAGGATCAGACCAAGCCAGAATTTAATCCCAAGTCTGCCATTTGCAGGTTGGACGTTGAGCATTTTTAGATCTCTCTTAGGCTGTTTTCTCATTTATACAGGGAGATAATACTGCTACATGTATAGAGGCTATAAGTACTAAATAATATCTAATTATTAATGTAGGTGACATAATATGTATATAACCACTGATAAGGCCTTGTACTTAGTTAATAATAAAAACATTTTCTGTTATAAATAATTGGCCAAAAAAAAAAGTATAAGCCATGAGACATAGAAATTTTAATAGCTAAAAAGTACTACAGACATTATTTTGTCAAATCCTTCCAAAGAATAGAAAGGGATAATCATATTAATGACTTAAGGTTCTGCCTTATGACTTTCGTTAAACATAATCATTTGCTTACAATAGTATTAATAAAAACAAACTTCGGGTCATCAATAGACATGAGAAGGAAACTGTTTTTCCACAGGTATGTTTAACTTTCTTGATAAATTCATTCGCTAGTTCTTGGGAAACTTTTTACAAGCTGTTACAGTTGAACTATAAAAAAAGAAAGATGACTTGAACTCATGATTATTGTTATAAATGTAAGCACTCTTCGGTCTTTAGAAAAAATGTATTTGTAAAATTTGGGGGTATATGTATGATATTGTAGCAAAAGTTGAGTCTCCAGGGAGCATTCTGGCTACATTGCAACTATTCTAAAGGCTATTCTATTCTAAGCAGCAGTAGCAGCAATAAACTCACATTAGTAAAAATAAACTAATGAGATAATTATTGTGACACATCACTGTGTCTTCCACCATTTCATATCCTGAAGACTTAGGTGACACATAAATGCACTGTCAAAATATCATCTCATGTAAGACATCTTAAAAATGATTAGAGGCTTTTAATAAGACTTTCCCTCTAAAGCTATTTTGCCAAAATATATACCTACATATGTATACGTCTTTGGAACAGTAGTTTTGATGTGAAGCAAAATAGCTCTTCCTATTTTACTTTTGATAATTATCAGCCAGCTAAATTAATATCCCTCTTCTTCAAATCAGGTCCTTTTGCTGCAAGGAAGAATGTAGGTGAGAGCAAGGATACACACATTCGTTTACTGTATACAGGAGAAAAGTAACAGACCGATGTGCACAAAGATGGACATACAGCCTCAAAAACCTTCAGCTTTCCAATTTTACATTTTAGCTTCCTCCAGAGAAGAAATGTCTGCAGTCAATTTTAATTTAAAAAGCCATGAAAAGCTTCCCTTTTATCATACTGGTAAAATTTTATTAAGAACATGACTTTCTGTTAGAAAAGTATTTCTTGAACATACTAGTACTCCAATTTCTTGTCAATCTGATAGGCATAAGTTGTGATGTTATAAAGAGTAAGTGTCTTCTTTTGTGAGCATAATATGTCTTGAACTCATAAGATAAAAAGAAAATAAATTAGCCTTCAGGCCTTTTCTTTAAGTTGAGTTATTGGTAAGGTTGGTGGGTACCGTCCTGGATGATAAGATCTTGTCATTCCAGGCAAAAAGAAGGAAAATTGTCTGATACATACCATTTACACCCATGTGAATTACATATATAGTTGTTATAAGATGTCAAATCACAAATTCAAACTGAATGACATGGTTGAGAGAAGCACAAATAGTTACCCACTGTGGACATCGCCTCCATTCAAAACCATCACATAGCAAAGATCTAAGTGTAAATCTTCCAGTGTATGCCTATCAACATCCTTTTTGCACGACTAATGCCTCATGTGATCAGTTAATGTGAGACTGGAATGAGAGTCAACTGAACGTAACAGAGTCTATTTAATATCCTAAAAACGGTTAGGTGTGGGTTAAAACACCGTCCTGAGGAGAAGAAAACAGAGGTTCATGCAAAGGAGGAGGTTATGTAATGCAAAAGTCAGTGGCAACCAAAGGGTTCAGATTTTTGAGACTGTATTCACATGTGATAGTTGATTCGTGTTGAAGAAGACATGCAAAGGGAAGTACCTGTACACCAAACTTATTGCTGTGTAAAAAACAGCAAACACAATAAATTCCCTGTACAGCAGTTTGTAGATGCTGCCTCTCCACTTGAGGAGTAACCTATGAAATCCAAAAAAAGTCGCATTTGCTACTTTACTGGAGTAAGTGACAGTCATCTTGGGTAGTTTTCTCTAGAAGAGCAAGAAGACAAAACACAAGTAAAAAGCAATGTTTGAGACAGGCACAAATCTGTAGATCAAAAGAAACCCAAGCCTGCAACCAGTCAGCCATATCCCCTTTATCCCTTTCTCAGTTTGTATAATTTGGAATTTGGGAATAACCACCATCTTGATGTTAGATATTTTAGAAGAAAAAGGGAGAATGGGAATCTCTGGGGAGAGTAACATTAGAAATCTTAAAGTTGTCTTAATGGTTAACTATTGTTTTTAGACTATATAACCATTGCTCATTAAGTATTTGAATGAATGCACTATATAAGATATTTTGTAATGTAGCCTGTATTTTCTTAGTCCATGGAAGGGTTTAAGGTACTGACATGCTAACTGGCAGTTTCAAAAGCAATGGCCAAACTTACTGTTCGGATCGCTGTTTGTTAGACTAAGTAGAGAAGGTATTTATTTTGCCTATTTTACTTTCAAACTTCCTATGGGGATATTATGGCTCTGCTCTAAGAAATCAGGAGATCCTGCTGGAAAGAAGTGAGGCCTTCTTGGAAATTCAATTGATGGATTACTTTTGGTGGTTTTAGTTTGATGCGGGTGCCTAGGGGAGCTCTTAGTGCATAGTTAGCGCTCTATACTTTAGGAAGTAGCCAGAAAGTTGAGCCCGGCGACATTAAGATAGGTTTGTTTTTCTGATGAAAAGTCTCTCATAAAATGCTTAGAGGTAGTTCTCTTTTTATTTGGAGTTGAAGAAGACAAGCCATTACTCAGGACTTTTTCTACTTGGGTTGGTTCCATGGATGTAGGTAGGATAAGAATGGGACCTGGGAGTCCAATTTTTCAGTGAGTCCTTCAGAATTCTATCACTTCTCACTGAGACATAAAACATTCAGGTTTTGAGATAGATGGCCCAAAGTTAATCTTTGAAAATTCTGCTAATTATTGGCTAACATAGAGCATTAAGCAGATAAACTAAAATTTCT